ACGGAAGTTGAAGCTTTTCTGGTCGTGAGTCTTTCCGAGCTGGCGCTTCATGTTAGCGCTGCTCAGCTTTTCCTCGCAGGTCATTTGGCCCCAAGCGTCCTTGACGGCTCCCCAGCGATGCTCACGAGCGTCGAAGGCCGCGAGCATCACGGGCCCAGTCGCCCCCAGTGGCTGACTGCCTGCCCATTCCACATGGGCTCTGATCTCCGCCGCCTTCGACGTCCCAGAATCTGCCTGGCCGAAGCAAAACCCTCCCAAGTGCCAAGCACCGTCGGTCTTCAGGGTCATGGAGGCCTCCAGCTGTCCCGGAGTCGCTGAGAAAGTCTCCGCCACAATAAGTGCTGGCAAGGAGAGCATGTTGAAGAGGCGGTGGAAGGCCATTTTGCGGCCGGTCCCTATGCAACGATGGCCACCTACACTTCAGAGCACAAAAATGCCTTTTGCCAAGCTCTGGCTCTGGGTGCCTCTACGGTCACTTATCTCTCCAGATCCAGAAACACCACTCTTGCCATGCGCAAGTCAAGCCGAGGTATCGGCTGTTGCTGGGGCCGTCGTCTTACACACCAGAACTCTTGCTCTTGTCAGTACGATCCTGATTCTGCATATTTCTGTAGATTACCGCTGTTTGTCATGGTTCAGGGCGCTGCGAGCAGATAAAAGTTTTTGGAGTCCCTCAGGCTGGCTTTCGGCAATCCCACGCCTGCCCAAAGAACTAGTTATGCTATAAGTTATGCTCGTATAGTAAGTATTACAACACTATCATAATAACATTATGCCACTAGTGTAATACTATGACAATACTACTATACTACTATTCTAATACTAGTTGGAATTCAATCGCAGAGTCTTAGAGTCCTTGGAATCTCCAAAATCCCGAAGCCCTTGAGACCGGCCCCAACGGACCTGCTTATACCGCAGAACTCCCACGTCCAGGGCCGACATCATTGGGGCGTGGTTAGCCAGGATGCCCAGCCTTGAATTATTTGGACTAGGAACCTGGATAATTAGGACAGGGTCTTTTCTTGTTTCAACCAGGCGACAACAACAGGGACGCCAGTTGCAAGTATTCCCCAACCGCAATATTACCAAGAAGATGTCGAGGACACAACGTGTGCAACAACCCGTGTTCAACCCTACTGCTACGACTATTTCTGAAGCTCCGGTGGCAACTCCGTACTTCACTGATAGACTGCACCAGCTGCATGATTACGGTAAGCGCCGTTCTTGCTAATCGGCGAGAGTATCTCAAAGTAGCAGAAGACTTGTGTTCAGGTCATCCTGGCAGCAAGCGACCTGAGATGATGCTGTAGCCCACAAGTCTGTGGAAATCTGCCCCGTAACAAGTGACGAAACCTTCTTGGCGTAGTATTTACGCGGTTGCTTGCCATCCGACCGGTCCAGGCCTTTGGATTTTTGGAGCTCAGTTGAAATGTCAGAACCCTTGAACACACCTGCACCCCTGAAGGAGCCCGAAACCGAAGCCAAAGCACTGGCCGCTGGCACTGGGGAGGATGACTTCTGTGGCCTCGGCTGCTTCTTAAGCTCACAATTCTTTTGTGGCCTGCTTCCCATTACAAGCTGGAGCCTTTTCGCCTTGTGGTCCGGCAGCTGACGGTACTAGTCACACATACATTTCTGCAGCCATATGTCAGGATGCATGCAGAGCTGACGTTTTGGCGGATACCTCCCACAACGTCAGCCGTTCCGAATAAAGTGCCAACTCCGTCACACCCACCGCCATCACGACGACCATCACTAGCCCTCCATAATGCTAACAGCAAAAGTCAGGATTGCTGCTGCTTGTCGCCGTTACTACACTAGCGGCTTTTGGCTTTCTGCTTGTAGCGGTCGATGTTGTCACTACTATTACGTTTGATTTGTGCCACAGCGGCGGATTCGGTGAAGCCTTCGCCTTCCGGCGACAGAATCTTCAGCTGCACCCGATCAGCCACTGCCGTCGCCTGCGGAACGTAGATGAAAAATTATGCTTGCTTGCCGATAGGCAGCGTTCTGAAGGAAGCTAACATCGACGTCTCAAGACGGCTCGAGCCTGTACATGCTGACTTCAACCGCCACCCTTTATTTCGAAGTCCTCCGCCTGGTGACGGCCAGCAACGTTGCGAATGGAGAATCCTATCTTTCTCTTCAAACCTACCGAAGAGAAGAAGCCTCAAGACTCAAAAGCGTGCTGCCGCTTGATGAATGGCTGCTTGAAACCAGGTGGATGTTGCAACTGGTGTCTTCAGAAGCTCGTGCTCGTGCTGGCTTAGCTTAACAAGTTACCCTGACTGGTGATCGCCAGTGCTCGAGATTCTCTCGATATTCATAGTCCCCTTGCTTGAAAATGTCGTTTCGATTTCAGCGTTAGTAATGACTGTGCTTAGTGAATCACCCTGCTCGCTATTGTAGAGTTGTGGCTCAGACTCGCACACATTTCTTCCTTCTGTTTCGCCTCATTTCTACGATGGCACCGACGACTCAAGCTCGGCCTCACCCTCGGCTCGCATCGCGGTGCGGCCACGGATGGTGGGCACAGACCGAGTCGAGACGAAGCCCTGCAAAGGACCAAGAAATCTTGGGTTAAGGCCGTCAAGGTGCAGGAACAAGCCATGCTGAATGATTAACGAGAGAATCCCCATGTAGTCTCTTTAAAACTGTGCAATAGTTGCCTCAAACATGCAGTCCAACTGCTGGTATCCGGGCCTGGCCCAAACGCTGCACGAGGAACACCCCTGCCACCGCGGCAAAAATGCCACCAAAGCGAGCCATTGCTGGAGAAATGCGGGGCAAAGAGCCGAGGGGGTTCCGTGGCAGTCAGGGCCTCAAGGAGGTTGCGACGAGCACATGACTTATCCTCTTCCTGTCACCTTTCGAACCTGGCAGAGCCTTCGAGCTCTCCAGCTGCACAGGTGGGGGTTTCCGAAAATAGGGGACCCTAATATAGCACCCCAAATACTAGGGTCCTTACTATAAGGACCCCAAAATAAGGTACCCCTAATTTTCGGAAACTCCCAGGTGCAAGACAGAAAGAACCTGGCCAAAGACTTCAGAAAGCCTGAGGTCCTCGAAACCTGGCTCGCAACAAGAAGCCTCTAATGTAGGGGCCTTAATAATTAGAATAGGGTTTCGGGGTTCCTTATTGTAGTTATATACTATAATATACCCCCAAGCCACGAAGCGCACCAGTAGTCTCCAGCCTCGGGGCCGCAAGATCGAGAACGGCAACGCGTCATCGGCTTCCGGGAGATGTTGGGGTTTAGGGTTGAGGGTTGAGGATCCGTAAACCCTAAACTTGAGGCTACAACGGCTCTTGGGATTGGAGTGTTCTTCTGGAGCTTCTTCAGGCTTGAACCCTCCACTCTATGCGGCTTTTAAGGCCGACTTTTGGGGATGCGAGGTACAGGCGCTTGTGTCGAGGGTTTGGGGTTGAGGGTGGGCTCAACGCTGCAGGGTCTGAGTTCTATATCCGAGTTCCTTGCACCAAAAACCTGAACACTCTGGGGCACCGGATCCTGCTGAGAGCATGAGTCGCAGAACCCTTCCACCTGCAAGAGCCCTCCATGTCATTTAAGCAGGCTGCTGCGTGGCGGCCATGATCTTCGTACTCGGCGAGGAAAAGCCGCGTGACAACCTCGAAGTCAATCGACATTGGCTATATGAATGTGTCCTCATCCATCTGTCCCTCTCTCGTGTTTTATTACACGGCCCGAGGAGCGTCGCCTCAGGCTGGGTAAGTACATGGACGGGTGGGAGGTTTGGTAGCTTGGCTCAGTCGGCGGGTCGGGGGGAGAATGCTTGGGCGTGGCCGTATGATGCTGTGTGGGTGCAGCAGTGCCGAAACAAAGATGACAAGACAACTGAAAGCTGCCGCGGCAACAAACACAACAAACATGCCAAGGCCCAGAACCCACAACCACAACAAAAAAAATAACTTCCTGCTATGCTAGACGCACAGTGTGCATATCAAACCCCAGACGCATTGCCAGCTTCACCGTCTGGCCTTCTGGTCTCGTATGTACTATGTGCTGTTGTTAGTCGGCAGTCGTGGCATGGTGCTAGCTACTTGCCTCTGACAGCAGAACCTCGACTTCTAGTTCCGCTGTGCCTGTGCACTGCACGGCTCTGCTCCTCCTGTTCCTCCTCCTACTACGATTCCGACGACCGCCGCAATAGTCGACACAATTGCCAGCTAGCAACTTATCGCCTACAACAGCTGCAGTGCCTAGCCGGCAACATCCCGAGGCCCTTAGTTTTACCAGGTTTCCCGGAAAAGGACCTAGCACGCCAACAATTGAGAAGACTCGACGCTCGGTGCTGCTGTGCGGCACCCCGCGTGGGTAGCGAGTAGCTGTGCGGCTGGTAGATTGGCACCTTGCCCATACTCTTGGGGCGGGTGGGGAGAGGAGTGTGGCGGGGAGGGTGGCGGCTTCGAAAGCGGGAAACGAAAACAGAAGCTCCGACTCCGGAACCTTCCGGGCTTCTGTCTGACTTGGGCTCCGTGTTTCTTAGAACTACATACGGGTACCGTGTTTAGGGGTTGATACAGTGCACGTCCGACTTCTTCAGGGCTATGAGGTACTGGAAGGTCGCCGACAAACCTACCTCCACATGATTCTTCAGCAGCCTTAAGTAAGCTAGTTTCACCAGCCCAAGCTTTCGAACCCCTACACGGGACACGGCTGTAGTCCTCCTGGCCCACCCCACTCCAGCTCAGTTCTACGCAGAGCCTTTTCCTCTACGGTACATCTGTAACGAGGCTTCGAGGCCTGTTGTTTGCACGCATCACCTGCCTCCCATCCCGGAACCAGTGCCGCCATGTCACACGGAGCAGCGGAGAGTAGAAGTGCTCAATAGTGGAAGGCTCAGAACCCACCTGCGCGAGAATTCCATCGGCTTTAGTGAAGGACGAACCTACATCAAGATCCTTACCAATAACTGAATACAACCGTCCGATTGCTTGTAGCTGCATCAAAACATCCCCAAGTATCAAAGAACGACCCTCAACTGAGGAGTGTGTGCACTTGGTTTGGAACGACTTTCGCATTTCCACACCGATCCGTAACGGACTCGGCCTCCCACTCTCGAGGCAAATATCCAAGCTCCACCTCCTTGCAAAACAACTCGCGGGCAACTGTCTGCATTTTCAGACGAATCCCCGGTCCTCAACACCTTCAAACCCGAAGCCCGAAATATCTGTTGGCCACAAACCCTGAAAAACAACCCGGGGAGAAAATCCTCAAGCCTCAATCCGCTCTGCGCTGTTTGGCTCGCAAGAGTCCTGGATCATGTCTGTTTCGCCCATGACGTGATTCGGCTGCAAGAAAGCAGCTTTCAGAGAAATCTCGTTCCAAGCCGCGTTCCACTCCTGGAGACACGGCCCCGCACACGGTAAACCCTGTGGTTTCCTGGAGCTGGTCTCTTAAATCAAGTTCCTTCACGGGGGCGCCGAACGGAAGCAGAGCAGGACAGCAAGGTCTCACAAAAAGACTCCCAAAACGATCGAACTCGAGGCCATGCATTCCAGCCTGTTTCACGCCTATTCTGTGCGTCTGAAACTCCAGGCAAGAATCGGACCTTAGGCCAAGAAAAGTCCGAGGATGGAGATGACACCGCGGGAATATGACACGCAGCATGCACGCGCCGCATGCGACATACGCGAAACTGTATAGCGATGCGTCCGAAGGACGGAGGCAATGATGTACTTTCAGCGGTTGGACTGGTTCAACTCTCAGTCTTGCAATCCAAAAGTACGGCGGTTTGGAAGTCTTGATAAGCGGGACGCGTGAAAATGGTTTGGAAACATAGCCAAAAAGCTGGGCCGCAGACCAATTCTTGCCATGCCGGAAATCCTGCAAGGCACAGCGAGATACGGATTCAGTTCGGACAACGATATCCAAGATTCGTTCGCGCAAAGCCAAGGATGGCAAGTTAAGTTGCTCCCCCTCCCCTAACTCAGACGCTGAACCCAAAACTCCTAAAACCCTGCGCCAACCCTCAACCCGAAAAAGAAGCCCTTAATCCTGAACCCTGGCCCTTTTCTCTCCAGGCTCCTGCGGCTCCTCGCCACCGAAATGCTGCAGTCGAGCGTCGCATTGGGCCACCCTCGGGGAGCCACTTGCCACTAGAACCGACTGCAAACGTCAATCGGCTGAAACGATGTGTATATATAAGCACGCATGCAAATTGCATGTGTATATGGTGTGCATGCAGGTATGCGCGCATGCGTGTATTGGTGTGTATATGTGCCGATGTACACTCCTAATTGTGTGTCATACTTCATGTCGCACTCTGCCGAGGCCCAAACTCCATCTTGTATGACAGAGAACCTCAGGAAAGTAACTCTAAGTCAAATCAATAAAAGGAGCCAACCCCACGGACGGCGACACATCTTTGCTGTATGCAGATTTTACTTGCCTGACATGAGAGCCGGACATTCGTAGGAATTCCAAATGACGCCAGCCTGGTATTGCTGTCAGCATGCTTCTTGCTTAGTATGCTTCGCTTGACTAACGACGTGGAAAATAGCTTGAAACTTCCTCGCCTGGCGGTACCGATCTGCCGGACAGAAAAACAATCGAGGAAGTCGCACCTCGGCGGTCGGAGAAACATCGCGTTGTTCTACACCTTTCGGCCCTCCCCTCAAAGCTCCCTATCCTACTCTACGGCCTCGGAACTGAAAAGCTCTAGACTCCAAGCCCTGCGCCCGTCAACCACGGAGCCGTGCTGAGGCACCGGACGACTGCGATGTCTCTCATCACCCGCTGGGTGGGTGGAGCCTCAGTCGAGTGTTCTCACAATGGGCACTGATACTTTTATGCCGCACACCGCCCCCATGCTGTGATCTTCACGTGCTGGGTGGGCCAGTCACTGCCGATGCCATCTCCATGGCGATGCGTTTTCGGCTCTTCAACACCTGCTGGGATGCCTCAAGGCATCCCACGCATTCAAACAAATCTGCGGCAATTTGGTGAATCCATCAGGTCTTAACATGCGCGCTGACAGTCCCCACGAGCAAGTTCTGCGCCTCTTACGTGTCCTTTCCAGGGTTCAAGTTCACGCCTATTTTTTCTACCCAGGATTCAGGGTTTAGCGCTTCAGGTCCGGGCTCTTTCGCACAGAAAAACCCATCCCCCAACCACACCCAGACCACTTCAAAGGATCGATGGCTACAGAAGTACAGTCGACGGTGCGATCTAGGCCGGGTGAAAACTGCGCACACTGTAGGGCCTTGACCAACAGCGTGTCCTCAAAGCGCACTAGCCTCAGCATGCCAAGTGATTGCTCTTTCAAGCCGATTCAAGCGCTGCGCCAACTCCTGTTTCACATCTCGTCGGGTAGCACTCTTAGCTCCAGACAACACTGTAACATAAATGACCAGAAGGAAGATCCTTGGACATCGATGCTTCGGTACCGAGTTGGTATCACGGAATGGTTCTCCCTCGTTGATACCCCTCTAAAGGCTTCAGGTGCGTCCAAGAATCGCAACGGCAAGCGGAACAAGTTGCTTGAAGTCTTGCATCTTGTGAATTCGAGCGGTTTCGCTCCATAAGTTGTGCACACTCGTGCTAACGATACACGTCTTGGTGCTTCGGACTCCACCGATGGCGTGGCTGACACGGTGACAAGATACATGTGGCTCCGACATGCAGGTCGACATGTCGTAGGCCCTTACACAGATCAGAGCCATTATGTCACAGTAACCCAAGGTGCAGTGACTAAGCGATACCGTTGTCCGTACTTCGTCTCACGATTGGCGCCAGTGTTCCGTCGCCCTCACATGACAGATCATAGAGTCACAGAGCTATGGACAAGCTGGAACAGACAGCTGCGCCACTGAGAACGTGATCAAATGACAACCCAGACGTGGCAATGTTTTCCCATCTTCACAGCGGTGCTGCTTCTTTTCTTCCTGCCTTCCTGCCCGCGCGGACTACACGCACGAGCCAGTCCTAGACGGGAGATACGCGAGGTTTTCCAAAACCAATCTGTTTTAGACACCCATCGGGAGGTGAATGTAGGTGATACTCGAAACCAACGCAGCGTTCTGGATTGAAAACGACTCCAGCCCCAGGCTTTTGTTTCTTACGAAGACTGAAGTTATTGGTTCACAAGTTAATCCAGGTCTTACCACAATCACCAAAGCTGGCACATGCCCTCGAACATCAGATTCCACCGCAGACTCCTTCCTGCGCCTTACACGTCACGAAGCCGACAAGTCCCAGTCGACCGATCGCAGCAATTTTGTTGCCAACTTGCGTGGCAGATGCTCGGATGTAACCGAGCATATTCATGGCCAGGGCTCGGCTCTACAAGCTTCGTGCAGACTCACCTCTGTGACCTTTTAGGGCCGGGACTTCATGATGTCGACTGATAAGTCCTGCTTGCTTGTTCTTGAATCGCCGTCGCCAGACTCAAGACCCGTGTGCAAAATACATCGATAGATTGTGAGGACCAGATTGGGTAATTACGCGAGCTCGTTGGACCAGTTCGGTGGCAGCATGATGAATTATGGAAACAAGAATACACGCTTAGAGCATGACTTGTGCGCCCAAATTTGTCGGGATCCCATGGGCTTTAACAAAGACCTAATTTCGCCTGCGCTTGATGCCGCGAACTCAAACCAATGAGTCGGGCTTGCGGTCAGGTACTTGGGCCTGTGTGACTACATCGGTGTGGCTGAGAGCGAGAAAGCCAAGATGATCTTGAGGACGCATCCAAAGTATGAAATTCGAAAAAGCCTAAACTCCAAATCCAACCTCGCACGAAGACATGAAGATGTCCTGTGCCTCAGGACTTTCTCAATTCGAATAGACCCATCGATTGTTTCGCAGTTTCGCACAGCCGACAACTGTCGGTCTTTACATCAAACTAGCATCAGGGACAGACCTGCAGGTCCAAGCCATGTGCGGCGTTGTGCGGTATCCCAGCTTGCAGTGAAATTTAAAATCTTTCTTGATTTGATAACCTAAAAAGGTTCACACAAGCTCGATGCTCCTTGTTTGATTGCCCGCAAGTAGGAAATGGAACCATCTCCATCTGCAGCCGCACATGCCCTCCTGGCGATACTCTGTCGCTTCAAGTGCACGAACATGAACCAAATATACTGAAACAGAACTCGACATAATGTTGACCTGGCACCTATACACCCCACCTCAATCATACAAACCGATCCTCAGTCAGAACTCAAGTGTCAACCCCACCCCAAATTATAAAACCCGATCCCCAGAACTCAATGGTAATCTCGCTTCCAGTCAGGTTTGCCGCTGGGAACGCTCATCTGCAAAATCCCTGCTCTAATCGAACCTTTCCAGCTGCATCCACAAGAGTGGTTATGCACTGCACCCAAGACTAATTGGATGAAAACTGCGGCCACACCCCTTCAAATTCCAAGCTTGATACCCTCGCGACATCCATCCATAGCCAAAACAACAGAGGATGATGACGGCAGCTCAGAACGTGAGGAAAGATGACAAGGGTAGTTGGGAAGCGTGGTGAAGACCAGCATCAACACGAAGGTCAGGATGCAGATGCGAAGCACAACGAAATTACTGCAAACCAAATTCACCATAGTGATACTACGAGTTCCGGAGTCACGACAACGAGTAAGCTGCACACGTTCTCCACGCCGCTTAACCCGAGATAATGACTTCAATCTTCATCTCTATCAACGGCGACCCGGAACCACGCCAGCTTCCGCAGTTCCCTCAAACAGCTTAACCCAAGAAGCCCGTAGAAATCTGTAGAAATGTTGCGTGCGGCGCGACTACAGCATTTTCCGGTTCGAGGCGCATGAGTGAATTGCTTGTGAACAGACTCCAATCCTGCATCAGCTGAGGATCGGCAGGGTCTGCCAGGAGGCTGGCGCAAGGGTCGCCCGCAATGTGCGCCTTGCAGACATGAACCTCCCCATCCCCGTGCCCGACGTTGGCACGGGGTTCATCAACTTGCTGTCGAGACAACCTGCTTCAGCCCCGTCACTCGCTCTGGCAAGGTGCGGCCGGAGGCTGACAGTCAACCCGGCCTCGCCCTTCAACAAGCACACACCTACCCCGAGCTGTCGCACTCGCCGCGATGCCGCCTTGTTGTTTTCGCAGTTGAGATCGGAGGCCGCTGGGGTCCCGAGCCCGAAGCTTTCCTCAGGCTTCTTGCGCGAGCGCGAGCTGCGCGTGCGCACGCTGCCGTTCGGACGGCTCTGCGGGCGGCCTATGTGTCTCGCTGGAGTTGCATCATCGCTGTCGCGGCGCAGCGAGCCCTCGCCGCCAGCTCTCTGCTCGAGCTTCCCCTCGACACCGTCGCCTGAGCTGCCGGAAAGCCGGCTGTGCATGAGGTCCTGGAAGACGAGCGCTGGCTCCACGCCCAAAGAATCGGCAGTTCATGCATTTGTAAGTTCGTGGGCGTACGCCGTGTTACTCTTGAGTCTCTTGTTTTACAACGCTCCTTTTTCGAAGAAGTCCTGCGCGCGGTCCCAGTGCATGAACTACGGCATGAAGTCCAATCGAGAAATCCACGAAGTCCAGGACCACTCAGCCACACGGAGGTAGGCGGCTGGGGAGAAAGGGGGGAAGTGCCTCGTGCGCAGCACCGAGAAGTCTTGAATTTTCCATGCTTCTGAACCTGGAAAACATTCACCCATGCCCAGACCAAGACTTCTCGAAAATCCAATTGGACGTGAAACCTGCTGCTATGTAAACCCTCGGCCACGTAAGCACAAAACGCGAGTTGCTATTTGCCCATGATGGATCTTGAGTTGTTGTCGGCTCTAAATCAATCATTTGCGCGGTGGAGCGGGTCCCCCGCCTTCCCCACCTTGCCTATCCTGAACGGACCAGATAAGGTCCTGCACGCTGTTTTGAGTTAGTTTTCAACTACCTAAATAAATGATGAACGACAACTCCCGCGAGCTCCACAGAGCTAGTTTCGTGACTGCCTCGACCGTACTTCTACGGAGCTTCTGCACCCACCGTAGCTCTCTCAATCAATGTTTTCATCTGCCAAACCTGGGCACAGCTTGCCGGTGTCTACTACGGCTCGTGACACATGAACAGGAAGATACCACGCGGAGCCACTTTGGACCCGCAGCCGTCACATGCATGTTGTGTAGACGACATGCTCCCGCACCAGATGCCCTGCTGTTGGCAATCCGACATAAAGCTTGTTGATCTGTTACGCGGCTGATGCATATCTAATATGTTTTCTCCATCCATGGAGCCTGGCATCTCCACCTCGTGAAAAAGAAGACACACGGAAGGGAACAGGGATGCTTACTGACTAATCACCATATTCCTGCTCAAGCTCGCAGATAGGTATTTCCTTCCATGGTCCGAAGCCAGGCGATTGATCTCTCACTGGCACATCCGTGCAGGATCCGTGCACCTGCAACGACACATAGACACATGGACACATGGACACATGGA